CCCTGTGTGGACACTGGATGAATTGTGCGAGGATAAACACAGTGACTGTGGATAGCAGTACTGTATGTGTGTGTGGGGGGCCTTGTTTTTCTATACATGTGGGATCCCAAAATTGGAAGCTCCATGATGTTGTGGGAACTCGCCTTCCTCGTGGGTAAATCACTGAATTTTATGGCGATAATTTGGTTTTGGGTTATGGTAAGGAAAAGGTTAGGCAGGTACTAAAGGAAATGAATGTAAGTCAATTATAAGGCCCTCAAAGTGACCAAAACATCGCATGTGTGTGTGTGTGTTATACAGTAGCTCAGGTCTGGCAATGGTCCAATGCTCAGGGTTAATAGAGTGCTAATGCCCCTGATGTGCTCTTGTTTACTGAACAACTAAATACAGCAGAACATACTTTTGAGTAATTTTGAGTCATTGTTCTCATAGCACTTCCTGCATTTGCTTGTTACACTGCTTGGCTCCATAAGTAATCCTCAAAGGCTGTGACTCGCCTTTTGATCTTGAACACCTGCGGTTTATTCTTTTGATGATCATCTGTTACTTAAAAGAAAGCATCTGTGATTTGTGCAGTTGAAACCACAGCATATGAATCAGGTTTTCAGTATAGATAGTACAGAGGAGTGACAAATTAAAGGAAAAACCCTGAATAAATGAGATGAGAGAATAACAAATGCAGATGCTGGCATGGTTTTGATCCACGTTTCCTCTTAGAGGGAAGCAAATCAATACAAAGTTGTTCTGAGTGACCACCTTTATCCTATGATGAAACATTTCTATCCTGATGGGAGTGGTCTCTTCCAGCATTACAGTGTCCCCCATCCATACTACAAACATACAGAGTTGCTCCTATAAATGTAGCTCACCAGTGTCTGTGCAGTATAAACATTAATATTTTCTTTCTATTCTTAATTTTTCTCAGTGGGAGAAGGTAGAAACCTGATCCCTATGGACCCCAACGGCCTGTCTGATCCATATGTCAAGCTCAAGCTCATACCAGACCCCAAAAATGAGACCAAGCAGAAGGCCAAAACCATCCGCTCCACCCTCAACCCAAAATGGAATGAGACTTTTAGCTTGTGAGTAAATCAGCTATTGCCACCTACAGTGCCTGTCGCACATTAGACTGCACAACACAGTCCATATTTCTATCATGACAATATAAATATCTGCAGTAACATCTTATAATTCATTTGTTATTGTTTAACAATTCTAATGCCGCTGCCGCCTTGTACAGCAAGCTGAAGCCTACAGACAAAGACCGCAGGCTGTCGGTGGAGGTGTGGGACTGGGACCGGACCACCAGGAACGACTTCATGGGATCCCTTTCGTTTGGCGTGTCAGAGCTCATAAAGTCTCCAGTCTGTGGCTGGTAACACTGACTTCCCTAAAGACCAGTTATAGTTCTATCCTGCACAAAATATTCCTTCTGTTCAATTTAATACTGCATGTTACGGAACACAATTTATTTGAATGTAAAATTTTGTTTAAATAATTGTTGAGTGGTATTGGTTGCTTGCATTTTACACAAGCAGTTTACTTCTGCCTTTATGATTATTTATTACATTTTAATGAGGTCACTGTGTCTGTCAGATGATTTAATATTATTTGAATGAATCTCAGGCAGTCAAATGTGATGTCTTATTAAATTATATAACAAAAACATAATAACATACTATATAATTTTGTTGGTACTGCTTTCATATGCACTAATGATCCTATTATATATCATATTTTAGTACTGAAAGTTCATAAAAGATTTATATCACAGCTTACTGTACGTAGCAGGTTCCCAACAAAGACAGCATCCTCAGCAAACCTAGGTTTGGGACTTGCTTTGGGAAACATCTTGTCTGGTACTGATTGATGGCCACCTGGAGCTGCAGCATAATGATATTTTCCCAGATGAGCAAGAGATATTAATTTAATTTGCAGACTTGTGTCTTGTGCCAATAAACCAGGGTTTTGCCAAATACAGGTGAAGACTCACTGAACTGTATCTAGGCTGAGTAGTTCAACACCAGTACAAGACTAGAGTAGAAGAAGGCAAGGTGGAAGGACAAATCATCCTGTTTCTTATCTTACAACATTTCTGTCTGTGTTTATCTGTCTCTTCTCTCTCAACTTGACTCCATCTTATAGGTATAAGCTATTGTGCCAAGAGGAAGGGGAGTACTACAATGTCCCTATTTCAGAGGAGGATGATGGTAATGAAGAACTGAGACAGAAGTTTGAGGTGAGGATTGCACTACAGTACTCAGTGCTGTGTATTATTGTCATGTGTTGTCTCTGAGTGGACATGAATTGTTGCCTTAATGTCTTATCAACGCATATAAACAATATCACTGGATGTGAACAGTTTCTCGACTCCGATGAATTTGTTCGGTTTACTTTAAACCCGGTGTAAATGTTTTTGTTTTGCCCACAGTTAGCTCCGATGAAACTGTTCTGTTGGGATACAGGTAAAATAAACTTTGTCAGAGTCACTGTTGGCAGTTTCAGGTTTGTGACTAAGGCCATCACAGTGACTTGGTCTTTCCTATGTCAGTCAATTTTAGTTGCTTAAAATCAGTGATGATATTAAAACGACGCTGAACATCCACATTATGATGAATCTGAGCTTTTACTTGACAATAAACTACCGCTCACTGCACTATAGGCTCCATACAACAGATAATGCAGACATTTTTTCAGCAATTATAAGATGCTCGGGTGGTAGTGAGCTGTGAACATTAAACCCAGCTGTGTTGTTGTACTTTCTGCCATTGCAGAAGATGAATGAAAACTTATTTCTAACTGATCTGTGATTAATTCTTCTCTTTTGGTTAGTCTGATATTTTAAATGCTGCTCGGTGTCGCCTCAACTAGATTTATAGAAAAATATTCTCTCCATCAAATTGTAGTGAGGTTTAATGATGATAATTATTATATTATGTACTTCTCATAAGGGACTCATATGAGCAGTGCTGGAGTATCTAGAATTATAAGTAAATCATAAGCTTTCGTCTCTTAAATGCCACTCAAACACACACATATATAGAGTCATGCATTCTCAGTCCTTTTTTTCAGGGTGGCCACTGCTGAGACAACTGTTTGCTCTTTTCCTTCATCTAAATTCTAGCAGTATTTCTAGCCTGCTGAGACTGAAACAGGCCTCTCTCTGGTTGTCTGTCATATTGTTCAACCTCTCAGTGGGAGCCCCGGTCTCTGGATGAGACTTTTTAAAGTTTTTTTTCCATGACATTTCTGCCAGACAGAGTGGAGAGTTGTGAATAGAATGAGAAAGAATGGAGAGGCAGGATGTTAGAAATGTCATGTTTGGGATTGAAACCCGAAAGTAATTTGCAGGATGAAGTGATAAAAACAGGTAAAAACTCTCATCACCCTTTTGATCTGTTTCATATACAGTACAATCATGATCCAGTCTGGCACCACTGACACTGTACTGTGAAGTTGTAAATGATAATGAATGAAAGTTTGAAGACGAGAAGTCTGACCTCCTATCATCTGTTTGCATGTGGTTGTCGTGGTAACAGGTCCACAAGACCTGCTCTACATATATTTGGTATTTGCTTGATGCAGCATGGTCAAGTTGAAACAGATCACAGGCTATATTTACAGAGTAGTTCCACTGTTGATCTAGTTTCTTCTTTAAAGAAACATGTTTAGCAGCAACATCAGCAGTGAAATCCATGAGTGTCTATGGACAAATTCTGTCCAGTCATGTAAGAGCAGCCCAGTGCAGTCGTGGTATCTCCCTCTGAAACAGCCCTGCCACCACAACAATACTGTTTGGTTTCATTTATATAAAACTGTTGTCTTTGGTTTTTTTTTTTTGTTTTATTTTAGAGCTTTTGCATCTCAAATTGTGTCGTCCAGTTGACTTTATTGTATCTTTTTGGGCGCTCTGTGGCCTGGAAGAGTTCTCTCTCTTCTTCTTCTTCTTCTTCTTCTTCTTCTTCTTCATTAACTGCTCTGTGGTTCTCCCCCTTTTCCCCTTTAGCTTTCTGCTCCCTCCTGTGTGCTTGGTGAGACTTATACTGTACAAATGCTTCTTCATCCTGTGTCATGTTTAATGCAAGAGTTTCTCCTCTCTCCCCTTCTTGCCCCTGCTCTCAGGACTGCCAAATTAACTTTAATCTAAAGGTAGCCCTCTCCTCTCCCCTCCCCCTTCTCCTCTCCTTCGCTCTGCTGTCTTATCTTGTTGTGGTGACATTTTCCTTCACTCTTCATGTCTGATCATTTGTGTGGCCCCAAGCGACTGCAAATAGATCCAATTTACTAACAGTTTGCTCTGAAAGGGAGTTGAGGTTTTTAATTTTTTTGAATAAAAAGTATGTAAACTACATTTTTCTGATAAATCAGTACAGGCCTCACACATATTTAACCACTGCTCCTTTCTGTACTTGGAAGAACAGTGAAAATTACTTTGTGGCCATGAAAAAAGGTGAAATATGTGCCTCTTTCAGTGAGTGCACACGAAGGTCTTCTTTGTCGTCATTGCTTCCTCAGAGCCTGTCAGAGGATTGTTAGTAAATCCTGACACTGTACTGCTCAGAGTTCATGATTGTACATTTGTCCGCATGTATGTCTATTCTCCATCTGTCTTGTATGTGTATCATCTTGCCTGTCTTCATCCTGTGTGCTTACATCCTTCCCAATACAGGTGGGACCTAAAGGTTTGTGTCCATTCATCTTAGAACCTGCTTAAGCTTTATATCTGTCACTTTCTACTTCCTCTACCTGTAAAATTCCTGTTGAAACCCTACTGTAGGCCAGACTTCACTCTCAGACTTTAATAATAAAGGAATTGTGGACTAGAAAGATATTCCACACTTGATAAGTTAATAGCAAGAAGCAAAACCAACTGTGACCACTAGATGTCAGCATCAAACCGAAATAGGCAAAGCAATGAGCAACCATGTGTGCGTGTGTTAGCCTTTATCAGTGTGTTTGTGAGGTAATGTTTATTTTTCCACACACGAATGATCATCATGCATTTTCTTCATGCTTGAAGATTTGATTTCCACACCACATGTAAACTGTTAGGATTCTCAGTGATTTTTTTCCCCTCCAAAGTTTTTTTCTAAGCTTCATGGTGATATTCAACTATTTATTTTTAATACATGAATAATTTGTCACAATTTGGTTTTGTTTTATCAGCAGAATCATAAAGGCCAGGTCAGTTTCACCTAGACGTGTTATTTCTACATGTATAGTCTATGTTTTTATGTTTCTGCAACACTGTGATCTTGATATAATGACTGACATATTGTAATAGCAGCACTGTAAATCCTCAATCATCTATGTATAGAGGTAATTTTTGTTTTATATGTGTCTATGAGCTGCCCTCCTATTGCCCCTCAGCTGTCTGCTATTACACATCAGCTGTTGTGGCACAGTGCACTACAGTGAGTCGGCTCTTTTGGCTCCATTCTTCCCTGTGGTTTCAGGACCAAGCGGTTGTGGAAGACACTAATAAGGTGCGTCTAAGAGGAAGGAAGTAAGGCTGCTCGCTCAGCTTGGCCAGGCTCTTTTCATTGACTGAAGCTTACAGGTGTGCTGTGGTGTGGTGCGGTTTCAAGGTGAATTCTGACAAATCAGGAAATTTTATATTGGTCTGTTGGATAATGCCCATTTTGTCTTGTTTCTTGTGGAATATTTTGAATAAAAAGATTATTGCCTCCATTAAAATGCAGTTTGACATCTGATGAAGGTTTGAGAGACTCTGTAGAGGTATGGCTTCTATGTTACATGCAGAGATCTTCTGTAGATCAGGATCTTCTATAGCCAGGAGCAGTAGGAAATACTGGCCATTCATCCAGTGTCTTAGGGTTCTTGCTAAAGCTACATGAGGGCCCTTCTTTACAGCATGTGGATGTAGATTATACAGAACCGAGAATGTCAGGGTCTGTGTTAGGGATAAGGGTCTGTGTTAAGGATAAGGGTGTGTTTGGCCTTGTCTGGGTGCGAAATCTTGACATGGCCGTAATGGGTGTGTTTTTGTGCAGAGAGACAGAAATATATGGAGAGTTGTATTGTATTGTATAGTTATTTTTTATTTTTTTATTTTTTGCTGTTGAGCATTTTGACTGCTATGAAAGTGTCTTTTTCAGCATAACGCACTGTAGTTTTCTAGCAAGCTTCTTGAAGCATCTTGGCCTACTGGGAGACTGCGCATGACTTTGGCATGAAGGAAGTGCATAGAAGAGAACTTAGTTTGCATCTTCTTAATATAGGTCATCAACATTACACTTGTCTGCACCAGACATGCATGCACACGGCAAAGCCACAGTGTGGCATCTCGTCCTTCTTCACTCTAGGAGTAGTATTAAGGTTTGAGTACAATGACAGAATTGCTTTTGCGACACAATAAGTGTAATGTAAGTTATTTCACCAATGCTTAAAATTATGTTGTGCCTGTTTTCAGTTATGCAAGTGCATTGTCAAACATGTTAAGTGATACAGACACAAAATAAGGTTGTCTACTAAACATACATACAGTATATTTATGTTCATTGTTTACAACATTAGTGATCTACTTTAACCTCCAAATTATGATGTCACTAAATAACCACGCACATTTTTTTTGAAACATAAAGTCATGGGACATGTGACACCAATATTTCCTGTGTTTTTTACTGCAAGATGTTTTAAACAGGTCTTTACTTACTGTAATACTTTTAATATTCTCAGCTTCTCTTCTTTAAGCCAACAAAGAGGCTGTAATTAATTTTAAAGAGAATTAGTGGTTAAGAAGCTTCTTCTTCTTTTTTAGGTCAACAATGTGTTAAGATGACAGTTGTAAATAAATGTCAGTGCGTCCTCTTGTTTGACACAGCTCAGTGGACTTTATTAAACTATCTGTTTCTATGGAGCTATTTTTCCACAGTGACACCACAGTCTCCATTTCACCCCATTAAATTTTCAATTCTGCTTATTAATCGTGGCTGTGAGCAAATGAGCGGTGTGAGTGCGTGATCACATGTAGAGGATAATCACTGTACGATGGAAATTCAAACATAAAAGTGGCTGCAGTTGTAAAAAAAAAAAATTAAACAGGGAAAATGAGCATGTTGGTCTGGAAGTGTCTATCATGTTGCTATAAAAGTAATCCTCTACAACGAAGTTTCTTATAAGTTTACAATTGGTACAGTGCAGTTTAAATTTGTGTTACACATATAAGCATTTTCAAAGATGTTAGGCATTTTAGGAATTAGAAACTAGGTTTCTTGTCTGAACTACACAGTGCAGCTTTACACTATGTGTGTGTCAGTCGAAGAATATCTCTTACACACTTCGTTTTCTGTGCCCTGAGTGCAGAAAGCCAAGCTAGGCCCAGGTAAGAAGGTGATCGATGAGCCAGACAACATCCGCTTCACCCATTTGCCATCCAACAATCTGGACCAGGTTAAACTCAGCGACTTCAACTTTCTGGCTGTGCTGGGGAAAGGGAGCTTTGGCAAGGTGAGCTAGCCGTGATGCCGAGCAAGAGATCCTAGATATATCTTTC